TCGCTCTCGCTCTCTCTCTCTCTTTCTCTCTCTCCTCTCTCTCTCTCTCTCTCTCTCTCCTCTCTCTCTCTTCTCTCTCTCTCTCTCTCTCTTTCTCTCTCTCTTGTGCGCGTGTGTGTTTGTGTGTGTGTTGCTCTGCCTTACACAGTCATCCAACAAACCCTTATTTATTGCTTATTGGTCTCTAACCTATACGACAACACCCACCCTGCTACGCCTAGGGAGGGATACGGGATTCTATTATAAAGATTTCCTACTATTTTTCAAGTAACCTGGAATCAATACAGCTGTCTCGTTAGCATTACTGCTGCACAGCCGGCTAGCCCTGTATCATCTAAAACCACGATACGTCTACCTCACTACCATTTATATACCGCGCTGCTATTTTAACTACTCTGATAACCCTACAACTCCCACGCTACCCGTTTAGACACGCTGCTGTCACTACAGTTACGCTGCATCGCACATCGTTATCCTACTATCCCCAGGGCTACCCTGCGACCCCCACCGTGCGTCATCGTGTATATATTGAAACGTCCACAGCAAATAATTAAGCATCAATATCGCTTCCGTCTTGTTGCGAAACAATAACTTGATTAGTGCGCACGCCAGATCTCGCCTCTCTCGGGAGATGTTCCGTGTTATTACATAATTTAATCACATTTGCCGGCTTGCTGTAATGACTTTTAATCATGGCCAGCTTGTTTGATGTGGTTACCTGGTTACAGTAAGCATGCGTATCGTTATTAATAAATAAATGTACATTGCTCTTGCAAAAACTCAAGAATTGTACAAAAACGGACTCTGATATTCACAGCTTCGTGTTATTGTTATGTCACGTTAATCACGTTGGTTCTAGAATATAATTAACGACAAAATACACATCGATGTCAGCCGCCATATTGTTGTTCCCACGTGACATTTTATTTTAAACTACAATAACATAATATGTCCTGTTTTATCTCAATGTGATAACATCTAAAGTATTCATCAAATGTAATATCACCTCAAATGTATCCAAGTCAAAAAAACTCACGTGCTTTACTTATATGTTAACATAGATATAATAATTATAAATTATGATGCGTAATATAGTATCACGTAACTAATCAACATAAACGTCACCTATATAATCTCCGAGCTGATGATTTGCAAATATATTCATCCACCTATTGTGCAAATTACCGGTGAAATTGCACCCATTGCTTCACGCAATACTTAACATGATAAACAAATATCACAATTACTGTACTACAGGAAGCAATATTCCATTATTTATTCGCTCGTTTTGCTAGGTTTCGCTTCACTTCTAGCTTACTGCAACTTTGTTGATATGTGAAGATGAAATGTGGTGTGTCCAGGCTATTTTAGAGTCATAGCATATGTACTAGATAAAATGGGATAAAAATTTGATTTCTTATTCGCGGTGGCGTGGTAACTGTAGCAGTTTTGTGGCAGCCACACTATTTTCTGACGTTTGCAAATATAGTCAATGTCTTGAACGTGCTAGAAAAATCGCTAGAGAAAGCATTTTGTATTTTAATCACAAATATTCTACACATATTAATAATATACACTGAATATACGGGACAAATATCATCTATAGACATTTACCATTAAGAATCATCTCGATATTATCATAGCCTCTGTAAAACGTACTTACATACATTCAGATATGTACGTCGGCACATATTCACACGCGCGCACGCAATTATCCACGCAGAGTTATAAACATATTTTATTATTTTCATATCGATGGTTGTAGTTTCAAGTCCTTCCTAGCTGTAATGTTCTATGCGGCTAGAAACCAACATCCTTCCATGTATGGGCGGCAGAGCTTCGCGAGGCTCTAGAAGTAAAAAAACACGAAATAGCGTTTAGATATTGATAATACCATCGTTGTTCATCCATTGACATGCACACATTATACGCGAATCATACGCCATGACCGCATGAGCCATTTTCTACGGAGTATGCTTAGTACCCTCATCGGCACATTTGTCGCTGCCGGTGACGTCACGTTTGTCGTCGTCGTCATCGTCATTGTGACGGGTTCGACGCCGTTAGTCTAAAGCACGGCGTCTCTACCTATATATTTTGCAGTCCGGCGCGAGTTATGACGCAAAATGACGACGGCAGCGACAACAGCAACAAGTGAGATGACGGCAACGACTGCGGCGACAACAGCAACAAGCGCGCGAGGACGGCAACGACGACGACGACGACGGCGAAGAAGAAGAAGAAAAAAGAAGCCTGTGACGACACCGACAGCGGAAACCCGTGACACGGCGACGACATTCGACGTCTACGTATCGCTCGAGGTGTCGTTTACATCTAGCATCATAATCAGCCGAAGGTGCTTTTCTGTAAATGAACTCGAAAGCAATCAAGAAACATGTAAGCTTCAGTGAGTACAGCAAAAAACGCATTAGAAACGTCAATATAGGCCTGCACGCGGTCGTTGATTTACCAATCTTCCTCCCCACCTGCCCCGCACGCCTGCCTCCAATTCATGTTAACCGCAGTGAATAATTCACGGGCAATCAATTAAAAATTAATCCGTTAGATTGATAACTTGTATGTCAGCAAAAGATTTGCTGCGGCCAGTAAAAATATTATTATTAATTAACTGCTTGCCAACTGGTAGCCAGTCTTGCTAGCATCTGCCCCATTAAACACGACTGTACCATTAGCCTAACAAGATATCGTTGGATGCAATCGGTGGCAAAAACTATAGCGTACATGACTTTTAATTTCGGTGCAAACGACGTGAAGGAACGATACGAACGAGTGAGTGAGAGCTTCGTGAAGGGGTCGGCATCGGAACGTTCGTGTTGGGGAGGAATATATTGGACGTAGGAGAGTTGTATGGCTCTGTAAATGAATATAGACAGAAATAGCTAACGTTACTAACGTTGCGGTATACGCTTTATTCCAACTTGTTCTTTTATTGTAACCGAGCAATAGATGCAGTTTCTATGGCATCACTCGACAAACGACATCTCTTCTTGGTTGAATAGATACACGTCCTGTGCGCATATTCTACTTTCGCGGGGCGAAGTATTTCATTTAGAATACCAACATAGATATGTACGTCACTATTCCACCCACGTAAGTCCATGTGATAGTGTAATGCTGAGATATCGTTTGTCTGTATGAAATTATTCGGGATCGGATTATGATAAACCTCCTAATCTCTGCTGCGAACGATTTGACATCGACATGCTAAATTACTGCCCATTACGCAAACAATAACCCCGACAATCCGCATTCTTATTGCAAACCAAACTAACTGAATGTCCTGCAAAGAAAGCATACCGAACGATGTTTAATGTCTTCAGTACAATTGTTGATCAGAGAATTTTTTGTCTGTGTTCTTACGTAATTATTATACATAATTATTACTACGCATATAAAACAGGCGCATCCAGGACCCATTGGGGCCTCAACCCAGCCCCGTATGACATCAGTGCATTCATACAGAGCTCTAAATAATTACAATAATAGTAAGGTTTACAAAAAACGTCGTCGCTATCACGTTTTTCCACGTGCAACCGCGATTTTCTCGTACATTTCACGATTTAATAAACGCTTTTTCGACACAAAGGCTTTAATAAGCATATAAAAAAATACAAATATATCAGTATCACTATTCGACATAGATGAATATGGAATATGTTCTATTTAACTGTTTGATACCGAACCACTGTGATGAATAGTGGTTATTACCTGAGATCAAAATCATGAAGCCCTCCAGAGAAGGTGGTTAATTATCTGCTGTGAAATCACCGCAATGAGCCTTGATGAGTTAACAGGTAAAAAATCTAGTCGCAAAGCATCCATCGAGTAATACATTGCGTGTTTTTGCACGTTTTCAATACAAACGCACTTAACTAGTAACAGATCTGACCGTGTTAAGAGCCGGTTAAGAAAAGCAACGACCCTTGCTTGCTATGAATTAAGAAAGGGAGCTACGGGCCAATCACTTGTTATATATCTCTGTCTATTAGATGTAACATTATATATATATATATATAATATATATATACGTATATATAATATTTCAATTGTTAACAACGTTAACCCAATTGTGAATTTACAGTCATTCAGCTACTGTACGAAAAAAAGTGGTTTGTGCACCGTGCACAACCGTGAGTAATGGCAACCTTTGTTGGATAAAAAATGTTATGCGTCACCAGTATGATATTGTATGCGTGTATATTCGTTTGAAGCTATTCAGAATTTTTTTTTAAATCTTGTTGAGAGAATTCTTGAAAGAATACGTTTGTGTGTTTTTTATTTTCGCATATGCGCTCGGACGGCTTAGACACTTTTCCATGGCGCGGGAAGTCTAAATTAATTTTTACTATACTGTCTCGTTACATTGAATGAATGACGTGTTATCTTCGCTCATGTAATTAATTTTGACGGCTAACGCAACTCACCTTCAGCTAATCACCACGAAGGATACCAAATTCCAGCTATACAGACCTTCAGTAGACAACCATAATTCTTTGTGTTAACACTGTATGCAGTGTATAGTATGTATAATCAATATTGGCTAGTATTGCAATCGCCTTAGGATATATATATATATATATATATCCTAACCGACCTTGTACTACGCATGCATACGTCCCAACAAGTCAGGAGAATTACGCAAGATCGCAAACAATAATTACCCTAATATTTATAATAGAAATTAAAATAATAATTCAATCGTAAAAGGTAAAATTAAAGTTATTGAACTAATTTTTAAAATATCATAATGATAGGTAAAATAAAGTTTGACTTCTTAAACAATTATTCCAATAGATAATACCTGGCTTTGCGCTCAATATCTAGCTCCTGTTGAACGCCAATTCTTGCCTTGCGCTCCATACCTAGCTCCTGCAGTAGCGTGTCTGCAAGTATCCCAAGTGCTTTGATTTACACATTAATACATACACGCACGTACGCACGCACACACATGCACAGGCAAACACACAAACGCGCGCGCGCACGCATACACCCATGTACGCACACTTACTGCTGTTTTAAAAATCGCTACAGTTTTTGTTAAAAAAGGAATATTCGGAAAGCGGAAAGCGGGATTTGAATGCGGAATATTGAGGAAGCAAATATAGCGAATGAAGCGATATATACGACGAGAAAGATCATATCGTAGATCATAATACAAACTATAGTGCCTTCTGGCAATGCTGCATTTCTAATTATGTGCGTACTAGTAAGATAAAATATTCTCTCCCTATATTTCCAGACTAGCAGCGAATCGAACAAAATGTTGACAAGCTCAAAAACTAATCACACTCGATATGGCGATATATTCATACACGACTAAGGAAGCGGCATACCAGAATACGCAACACGACACGGAAATTGACGGAACAATTTATGCAAACGAGTTTATATACATACGATAGGTAAACAATAATTATATGCGAAGTGCGCACAGTTGTTGCTAAAAACAGTAATGTAAAACCCAACATAGAAATACCTACTCTTGCGTTGGGTTATATTATTGTATCTAGATCGCTGTCTGTTGTTTGTATGATGGCGACATGCTGTAATCTCAATATTTAGTGTGGCATATATGTTCTTTGTAAATGTTTTCTCTATTTAATAGGAACAATTTTTATCAAAAAAATTGTTCTTGCACGCGTCATGTGTTTTTGAGCTGCGTATAACTATATCGCGTTATAGTTAAAGCAAATGCATTCCTAAATTGACGTAACAGACGAGTTAATTGGTTTTGCCAGAGACAATTTCTATTCTTATATAATCTCTACTACGTGTTTATAGGAAGTAAGTTTGGTTAGATGTTTTAGAATTATAATGACACCGTACCTCTGATCATCTGGAGTTGTTTAATCTCCTGACAAGCCATCTCAAGCCTTGCTTGAATCTGCACCAGTTCAGCTGAAAGAGAATATTTCGTCGTGAAGAGCATTTACAACTTATTAAAATATTCACAATTCATGTGTATGCGGTTAAAATATTTGTTACAACAGAGAAGAATTCAGTGCACGCTTTCTTGCGCAGCAATCCTATTCAAATCATTTACGAAATACGATTATATATGGATTTATACGCTCGTCTGTTTAACGTGAGATAATTTCGTAAACTACTTGATTCTAGTGGAGTATGAGTTCTCGGCTTGTTGTATACGCTATTCGAACAGTACTCGTGGGTTTCTATTATATACTTCAGACTCGTCCGAGTCTTGGCAACATGAGTCATAATATTGTAAAGTAGCAGCTGATAACCACACATCACGTGTGTGTGTGTGTGTGTGTGTGTGTGTGTGTGTGTGTGTGTGTGTGTGTGTGTGTGTGTGTGTGTGTGTGTGTGTGTGTGTGGTGGTGTGTGTGTGTGTGTGTGTGTGTGTGTGTGTGTGTGTGTGTGTGTGTGTTGTGTATATAGATATATATTTGTGTCGTGCGTGTGAATGTGCGCGTATGCGTGCGTGTATGGTGTTGCGTGCGTGTATGCGTTCACGCGCGTGTGTACGTGCGTGTGTGTGTCTGCGTTTCAAACGTAAAATTTTAATAAAAAATAAGTTTTATGCTTTAGAACGGATCCGTTTTTAACTTCAAGTGCTCGAGCTTCCAACAGACGGCAGTACCCGCACATGAACCAGTCGCAGTAATAATTACCGACATGCGATACTAGATTAAAAGAGAGCACACCTGCGACCATTATAATACAGTGCTACTGATGACTGCACATGCCCAACGCGCAAACCTGGCATGGTTGTAGGTTATTGCGTACAAGAAATCCATACAGACGTATAGTACCCGGCTGGGTAAATGCTGAGATATTAAATTAATATATACTCAATAAGAGAACTTGTGACACCACTCATTCAGAAAATATCGACATAATATGAGTTACCTATAGTCACACATATGTGTTATATCCCATATCGAGGTCAATAAAGACACTTATATATGTTGATGTATGTATGAAGCAATAGCACCTACATTTTAGCCATCACAAACAGTTTGTGGACCCAAACAATTCTTAGCCACCACAAACGCTTTGTGGAGCAAAAAAATTCTTAGCCACCACAAACAGTTTTGTGGACCTGAAAATTTCTTAGCCTTCAAAAACAGTTTGTGGACCCAAAAATTGTTTACCCACCACACAGTTTGTAAACCAAAAAAATTCTTAGCCACCACAAACAGTTTGTGGAACAAAAAATCCTTAGCTCGCTCTGGCTCAAAACTTCACAATACACAGGTACTTGATAGTTTGGACCGTCTCAAAAGTGTTTTGTAGGTCGCCTAACCAGATGTAGATCACCAGAAAGAGAGGGAGAGGATGCGCGGCTTGAGCAGCCTATGGCAGATGTGTTTTTGTTGAAACATACTTGAAGAGACAAGTTTTAGCATGACTCGTAGTCCATTAAAGAGCAACAGCGCGTCAATCAAATTTTTGACCGATGTTTTCGATATGTATTACCCTCAGCATCAAAATTACGAGGTCGTGAGCGTCAGACAATTTGTTTGTGGTGGCTGTCAGGAGCTCGGAATCTTCTACTGGTATAGGATGTCAGGAATTGTTCTTACATGAAAGACATACCGATGTTACGTTGCGGACCACTGCTAAAGAGGGTCAGGCCAACCTGGATCAACGTATCACAAGAGGTCAGCAGATGGAGAAATGGCTAGCATCAAGGGCGCGAATTTTGGGAACGTGAGAAAACAAGGAAACAATAGATATTCGCTAGACGCTGAGGAAGGTGGTTTGGGACGGTCATGTATTGAGGGATTGCTCGGACGCCGGGAAGAATAGATTGCCGTGAAAAAGATATACACGTTTGGCGGCGGTTCACAGAAAGAAATACTCCAATTTGTTCCGTAACAGCGATTTGAAATCGATATACTGACCACGATTGAAATGTTGTGGGAGGTGAGTGGAGCGTTGGGCAGGGTGCGTAGTGTGTGGTGGCGGTGGGGCGTTGCGCGTGGCAGCGTGTGCGTGCTGTTGTCGTGCCTGTGTCGAACTGGTTCGGTGGCGCTCGCAGTGTGGCGCGCGTGACGTGTGTGTGATACTCAGATTTCGCTGTATGGAATTGCCGGATTGTGTATAGAGTGTGTAGCTGTGCACAGCTGATACGTATGTCAGGCAGGCGATATGGTCAGGTGCCGACGTTTGATGGTTTGTGTGTGTGTGTGATGGACAGTGGCAGTGGCGGTGTGTTCTATTCGCTGCCAGAAGTGTGGACTTTTGAGAAAGGCACAGATTATGGC